GATAATGCATTGTCCTCAAATTCCAGTTGCTGTCTGTAGCTACCTATTAGAAAACAAATAAATGTTGTAGATAACGATAAAATCACGTCATAAATATATAAATCTGATCCAGTCAGCAATTGTGACTGCTAAGAACCTGCTGATTATCATTTAAATTGTGCTGGAGACATCACAAGACCTACCCCGCTTGTCCAATCCGGTCAGAGAAAATTCGGGTAAAGCAATATATATCAGTGACCTTGAGTTTAGAATATTATATTATCATTGTAAATAACAAGGTAGATATATTCAAGAGGCATAACAGCTATGTATAATGGGTTATTGAGACAAGATTTGCCGGGTTTTGAATGGTACAGACATTATATAGTGTTTTAAAGATTTGTCTGACAGCATAATTATATGTATTGTACATAGGGAGCATATTTACAGAGGTCATCAACCCCTTAGAAGTGGTAAAAGTATGAAGGATTAATACTCGAAGCACGAAAAGTGATTTTTCAATAAAACAACCACACGATTTGTTTGTGTATATGCACGCACGCATGCATGCATAACATATTTAACAAGGAAAGTTTTCTGATGCTAAATATTTTAAATTCAGTGAAAAGATGATCAATTTGAATTTAAGCAAAACAACAGTTTATAGTTTAGTTTGCCACAACATGTACTTTTAAATTTAACTATATATTGAAATTCAAATTATATTCGTAAGAATGATGCATTAACAATTATTTAGGTAAGTGCGTGACGTTTACTTCTCAATTTGCTTACACTGTTCAAGAAATACTGTTTCAGCATGCAGAACAAGTGATGAATTTCCCCTAGCTTCCCTGGAAATATTTTTAATAATTACAAACTCTTAGATATTCGAGTATGAGGGGTTTCAAGAGGATTTAAGGGCTTGCAGTTCCTAGAATTGTCATTTTCCCGAGGCTTACTTATTTAATAGTGAGAACAAATGTAACATCAACAATACCGTGGCTTGGACCCCAGGCTATGAAAAAAGTCTACAGTTTTTATATTGCTTAAATATCGATTACAGATGCAATCTTGGAATTTCTTATCCCTCTTTTTGGCTTTAGAACAATTTTGAAATATTAGACACCCCTTCTTAAATGTACATTAAAAAATACCCAACTAAGCCCATGCATTCAATAAAGAATTACACTGTATGTTAAGGTAGCTCCCTACACGAATGACGTCAACAATAGTTACATGTAGTGCAGTATTGAAAATAAAAGATCATTAGTAGAACGTAAAAGAATGACCGTAGTTATTGCATTCAGTTGCAGAGAAGTGTGTACTTGACTGGATTTCTAAAGAAGTTCTGATCATTTAATACAAAATGTTGAGTTTGTAGAATCATACATTGTAGTATACAAACACAGAATTACATTTGTAATAGAATTTTTCCCCCTGAAAATAAAGACTTTTCTTTAAAAAAAAAACAATTCCAGTAACTTAGCTTCTTAGAAGCTGTAAAAAGGTCTAAAACGAATTTTGTTATTATAACGAATTTACCGACTTAAATTCGTTTAAACAAATTCTTTGTTATAACGAATTAAATTTGTTTAATCGAATTCGACACTTAGGGCCTATCGAAAAAATATTTATGAATTCGATATAACGAATTTCGAATTCCTTAAAACAAATTTAAAAATCCGTTTAAACGAATTTAAATCGAAATAACAGCTTTTAGAATTCATTTAAACGAATTAAGTTTGTTGTTACAAATTTTTGAATTCGTTACAACGAATTAAGAAAATTTCTTATAACAAATGAAATTCGTTATGACGAATTCAATTATTTGATACAACGAATTAAATTAGTTTTGACAAATTTAACAATTCATTATATCAAATTCAAAAATATTTTTGATAGGTCCTGCTTTATCTGGGCTTCCGTAGAAACGTGACCTCTCAAGATGTGCATTTTTGGGACTTTTTTCATTGCCCAAGGTGTTATTCTAATGATTCCAAGAAAAAAGAACAATTTACTTAACCAAAAAGTAGGGACCCACATTAAGAGAAACAATCACTAAGAGGCATGTTTTCTAAATAAAAAAGAATGATGTTCTCTAGAAAATATACATGCATATTAATTAATATGCCTTAGATTCATCTCATGGAAAAAGCAAAGGAAGATTGTAAACAATCTGGAATTAGCGAGTTATTGCAACATTTAAACTACAGTAGGATACAATCAATAAATCATTAACATTGACTTGATTAATTTTATTCATCGTCTTATAGAAGCACTGGAGAGGGAGTGAAGACCGTATTGTTCTGAGCTCTATATATCTGACATATTTATTCTCAATTTTCAAAGGTGAACAAATGAGAGGTCGTGGTGAGGGTGGGGATATTAAAGTTTTGATTTTAATGACAGCTCGCATCCCTTAGTCTACAGTTTTATTATAGGTGTCGTTTGCTTCCATTTCTATGGGGATTTTTTTTTTCCTGTTATTTTTTTTTTATGGTTCTGATGAAGATATGCGGTAATAGTTTCTTAAATAGCAGTTAAACTGAAAACGGTACGAATTCAAGAAATATCAATCATGCAATTTGAAGATTTACTGCAAAGTTTTGAACTTATAAAACAACTTCTCCATCAGCATCACAATACACGGCTATCAATGGCCTTGCTATTGCTAGTTTGTCTCCAACATGATATATGGTCGTCATTTACTGTGAAGACCTTACGAGTTATCTCCCGTGCAATGCAAGTGTAGTAGAATCTAATGGCGCCAGATGATCGTCCATCAACTTTTGTCTCTCTCTGTACCAGTTACGAATTCAAAAAGAAAGGGGAAATAATAACACTAAATATGGACAAGGTTATTTTTCATTACGAAGTTCATGCTCTGTCAGTATACTTTAGTCTAGCTACATCATGTCTATATGGTACATGCTACATCATGTGGTACATATAGATCTATGTTCCTTCAAAACTATAATCATCAAAGGTGCATTCTTGATGGAAACAGTTTTTTGATCGTTTGAAATTAATCTTTATTTGTTAAAGAAATAAAGTTCTTTTTTAACCAAGTCGATAAAATATATATTTTTATTCAGATTGCATTTTGCATTTACATAAATACCCTATTCCTAACCGGGTCTTTGTAAACAAGACACTTTGGAGACATACATTAGGAATGAAAAATAATTTTTCTGAGAAGAAACCGTGAGGGTAGGTAAGAACAACAAGATTTCTGACAAATCCTGTCACCCTTTTCTAAAACTGAAAAGTATCCATGTCTCAAAATCGTTTTTGCCTGTTACTAAAACATCGTTGTAAGTACTATTTTTTAAGTTACCAAAACTGTACGTATCCCTTTACATTTTTTTGTTAATAGAAAAAAAATAGAAGCTGTGTAATAGCAATTATTCCTTTTAATTTCTTTACCTGAATTTGGCTGAATCTGCGGTTAAGAAGGGTATTTATTAGGGATGTCCATGGGCGGATACAGGATTTGTAAATAGGGAGGGCGTGGGTAACTTTGTTCAGGCAGGGGGTCTGGGGCCTTAAGGCCCCCAGTGGGTCCAGGGCGAAGCCCTGGTGGGGGCCCAGGGGGCGAAGCCCCCGGAAGCTCCTGGGTTTTCGTGTATTTTAAGAGTAAAACCAGGCACAATAATAGGGGTATTGGTTAGTTTATATGTACCAAAGTTTGGCATTATTAATACTAGTCATATCATACTTTGAATAGAGGGGGCCCAGGGGGCGAAGCCCCCGGAAGCTCCTGGGTTTTCGTGTATTTTAAGAGTAAAACCAGGCACAAAAATAGCGGTATTGGTTTGTTATATACCAAAGTATGGCATTATTGATATTAGTCATATCATAATTTGAAAATTTAAGGGGGGGGGGGGTCGTGCGCCCCCCACGCCCCCCCCCTTAAATCCGCCAGTGATGTCAACGAGTACCCGGTTAACTGGGTACTCGATCGAACGTCCGCGTATCGAATACTAAAAATGGTACTCGGTTACTCGGAAGTGAATTTTTCTTATTTCAAAGTATATATATATATATATATATATATATATATATATATATATATATATATATATATATATATATATACTTATATATGGCAAACGATAATTAGCGCGTCGTCATTAATTAGTGATCAATCACCGTACACAGCTTTTCTCACCTATCGTGGTCCTTAATTTTTGGATGGCTTCCATGATTGTTTTCAGTGAATATCGTTTAAGTATGGTCTATTATCTTCAAATCATTTTAAAATTATTTAGTTAATATACGGCAGCGAAATCGGACATGCATAGAAATGCCGCTACATGTACCCACTTTAAAAGTGAAGAAATGTTTAGAAATAACTATAGATTAAAAATATCTTGGAAGTCAGTTTGCGTAGTAAGTTTAGTGTATAAGGGGGAAACAACCAACATATGAAATATCATTAGACTAGCGATCCCAGCAACTCTAATCATCACAAACCTGCGTAACAGATTGTCCTTCTGCGTTGATGAAATAGATCCTATACAAGAACTGTAAACCATTTGTAATTTTTGATGTATTAATTGTGTCTTTTGTGTTTATTTGATAAATAAATTTAGTACCAAAAATCATTTCCGTTGGAATCGATGTATATCATGTATATATATACATTTATAAACGTGATAAATACAGCTTTGAAGTTTAACAGAGATTTACTTGGCTCAAGAAAATCACCTGTCAGGAGTTCGCGTACCTATCGATTTTACCAAAAATTTCAGTAAATATAAAAAATACGTAGTGCCTATAATAATTACTAAATATTTCGGTAAAATTGATAGGTATGCGAAGTCCTGTGAAAAAATTAACACACTTATATTTACATATCCGAGTACCCGGGTACTCGATCGGAAAAATGTCCGAGTAACCGATTATCAAAAATTGACCGATTTGACATCCCTAGTATTTATCAATTCTGTCTAGCTTTATTATTCAATTATCGTTAATCTTTTATTGATAACAATATTTCTTCTATACAGTACATGTAATTGTTCCTTTTAAAATTTTATTTATATATTCCATACATTGAATACTATCTTGGAATTACCCCCAGCGTACAGCAAGTCGTTCTTCTGAAACGCTGCACTAATTTTCAAATTTATAAAAATGTAATAAATAAATATATAAACCACTAATTATTAAGAGATCTAATAAATGGCATTGAAGATTTTCAAATTTATGAATTGGATTCAGTAGCTAAGACTGGTGTCAAAAGAGGATATAAACTTTGGATTATTTTTCTCTGAGTATTTGAAAGAGTTTGAAGATGTCGGCAGTGTATACGGTCTCTCAAACATAAAGTCGTTGTCCAGTTTGTAGCCACCGTTTTGCGTCCCTGAGCGTTCGACGTCATACTTCAAGCGTGAGATTCGATGAAGTTTTGGCAAAAATACAATTAAAGTCATTAGTGTTGCGCATGTCAAAATTCCAATGCACACAATCACTTCCGCCCAATAGCGCGGCAAAAGAAGCAAGGTGACAACCCATGCCACCCATATGGGAATGCACAACCATGAATAAACCATGATGAATTTTGCTTCACCCATGTTCTTAGTTTCTTTTCGAACAAAAATGGAATATATTGCACAGAGCACAATAAGAAACATAACAAATACTAAGTACTTCACAAATTCAGTTCTATCAAAAACACATGCGTACTCTTTTTCGTTTGCGTCATCTAGTCTACTGCGTAGAAAGCCCATTTTGTTGTCTTCAATGTACCAAAAATGTACTCCAACTGCAACCTGAACACCCGTTATGAATAGCACCGTTAGAAACTGATTTATGTTGGACAACTCTCCGCCCAAACCAATCAACTTGTACGATCTAAGCGACATAATTTTCGCCATCACTGTTGCAAAAGACAGAGTGTAAGCAAAGCCTGGAATGAAGAATCTTGTAGAACAGACAATTTCACTGGGCGAAAACACAAACGGAAGAACAGATAAAAACAAAAATATTATAGATATGAGCAGTAATATACCCAGACCAACGTAACGTTTGGATAAAAGCCCGGCGCATACTTTGTGAAAAACGTAAATAACAAAACACAACGCAGCGAAAGCTCCTCCTACTCCTATTATTAGCACTATAATGGTCCATAACTCTTTACTCAGCTCTGCTGTAGATTTGTAGAATTTTAATTCCATTTTAGCGTATGGATCCGCGCGCGAGTCTTTATCGGTTGTATTCTTTTTGTCCTCCAATCCGACGCAACGACAGTTACTGAAACATCGAGACTCTTGACCTTGAGGAATTCGGCCATTTGTGTCAAATATTCCGAGGGGATTCATGTGCAAAACACCATCCGAGTAGTTTCCAATCTAAAAATAGACAAATGGTACTGAATTGGAATTCTTTATTTTCGAGTTTTTCACAGTTTTCAATAACGTTTCGTATCTTTTTCCCCTTTCCAACATTTTAACTTTACAATTAATAATTAACTTAAAATCTACATAATGACTTTTTAAAAAGTTAAATGTAGCAGTTAGCATAGATTTCTTAAAATATGAGAAGGAAAAATGTTAAATTCATACTTACATCAATAAGGGATACTCCTTTGAAATTCTTCACAGTGAATGCCCAAGACTCAGGAGTTTTGAAAGGAAAATCTACCTGAATATCATTCAGATACCTAAATGATATATTGTGGAAATGATCACTCTGAAGTTGAATGCCTTCGCTGGCAAACATCGGACATATTCCATAATAGTTTGGACAAAGTTTCTCGAATCTGTTGTGAAAGGCATGAAGCATCACGTCAATACCGAACACAATTTTTGAGGCTAACAGAAGATCAGCTTGGTGTTCACATTGAGGAGAAATACATGAAGAAAAGGCTTCTTCATATTCTTTCTTCCACGGATTGCGTTTAGAAATGGATGAGTCGTCGGAAATAACTTTCATCAAGTCTGTGTTGAGTTTTCCAACACGCTCAATAGTAATGATCCGCGCATTGTTTGGAAGCACAAAGTCTGATGTGTCGTTCCAAGATGGCAGGATTTCGCCTATAATAAAAGAATGTTCCTGGGGGGTGGATGTAAGAGATTTAAAAAACGTTTTAATCTCCATCATTTTTGCCAAAATCACAGTTACTGTTAGAGTTGGCTCTGAAGAACCTGTGTATTTATGAATTGGTGATACATTTTGTACACAGATATTGAAAGACCTACATGTCGACAAAAAGTCATTGACCACAGAATCAAACACTGGACTCTCAGATCGAACAACATCTATGTATGTCCACTGTGTTGAGTTCAGAATTTCTACAATCAAGCGTATACCAGCCTTAGAATGAAGAGAGTAAAACCTGGAAGTGACGTCATCAAATGTAGATGGCGACTCATCACCTAAAGCTAGAGAAGTCTTCTTATATTTTTCCAACATTTCCTGCACTCGACCTGTCGGATTTCCAGAGTCTGCAGAAACATATATGGTTAGCATTTCTGGTCCAGCTATCATTCCGCTGTCGTTGTAGCTTTCTCGACAGGTTTCAAAGTTCATGATCTTCTGCACCGCCATGTTGGCATTCGAGCAGGTATCCAGAATGAGGCTGCCCAAACTAACACCCGGAAGAAGGTAAGGATATCGTTCTTTGGACGATTCTATAGCAAACAGGAAGGCATCTATCGTCATGTCTGCTCGTTTATCCGTGGCCAAAACATCGCAAAATGATGAAACACTTGTATGAACTGGAAATAATCCTGCTACAACTATATCTCCTGAATGAAACAATTTTCGTGTATTTTTGGTAGATGCTGCTTGACATCCTAGACATTCAGGACACCAGTCTGGACACTGATGGACGGCGGTATACGGTATAAAGTCTGAATTGTAGGCCTTGACTTCATTTCCACTTACTGAAACATTTCCATCCTTCTCGATATAGCCAATCTTTAAAATAAAATGGACGAAGGAATTAGATTCATGGCACTGTATGAAGTCAATTTACAACTACAGAGTGTACATTGTATATCATTAGAATTACACTCTTTTTGCTGAATAATAGTCTTAAGTGTATCTGACAATAAGGTCTTTGTCTCTCTTTTTACAATGGGTACATGTATTTCTTGAAATTAATTCAATTATGGAAAAGTTATTGAAATCAAAATTCTAACTTTAATAAAAATTTACATTTAAACTTTTTTTTGTTTTTGTTTTTTTGTTTTTGTTTTTGTTTTTGTTTTTTTGTTTTTTTTTTGTTTTTTTTTTTGTTAACAAAAATGCACCACACAAATATTGAATACAAATACCCTTAGACTGTGTTTTAAGGTATTGTATGTAAATGAGCAGTTTTACCTTGGATGACGATGTGTTCAAAGAATTTCCTAAATAAATGAAAACGTCTTTATTTGTTACAAGCTCATTGTAGGAGCCTGATTTGCCCTTTTCTTCATCCTTCTGCGCAGAGAGATACTTTGACAGATCGACTTGATTTACCAGGCTGGCACATTTGCCTGTTTGCAACGGACAGACGTCTTGGTAGTATCTGTCCAGTGTCAAAACCACCGCCTCTATTGCATTTCTTATGGCAGACATCTTGGAGATGAGTATTGTCTCGTTTGTAAAAGTTGGAACAGACGGACAGATATCCGGATAAATCATTCTTGGGTGTACCGTCAGGCTGCATTTGTATCTGTTTTCGTGAAAGCCTTTTAGAATCGGATTAGTACTATACATATCAGGGCTCAAATACTGTATTGCTGGAACAACATCGTCCATTGAATTTTCTGATTGCAAAATGGCAATTGTGCCTGGGTTTCCGATTATATTCTGATTCCAGGGAAATGTGACAAAATTAGCCCCGCTAAAAGCATTTTTAATGTTTGACAGCGCCACATTAAGACGGAATGTGTCTTTGGTGTTTGTCAACAGAATGAAAGCCCCTCCATTTGATTTCCTCAAAACCTCTTGAAGTTTTATTGCAAGCTCTGTCAAATTTCCGTTTCCTGAAACTAAAATCTTATTTGACAAGCAAATATCATTTCCTTTAAGGTTGAGGTAATTTTCAAATTCTGTCAGTAGATTTTGCTCTGAACCTGAGAACACCACATTTATGTATATCCACTTTAGTGATATAAGTAAGTCTACTGATGCACGTACGAACTGCAAGCTGTCAGGGTTACCGAACGATACCCCCAACGACGACACCGAGAAAAGATTTCCAGAAGGAAGAGAATCATACGATAGCAATTCGCCATCATTAACATAATTAATATCTGCATATATATGTTCGTTCCTTTTCGATTTTCCTTGACATGTGTCGAATATCACACCTCCTAACCGGATATTCTGTAAAACTTTTGGATATCGTCTTTTCACGTCAGACAACTCGTACTTGAAAACCTCCGTCATAATAACTCCTTCAGTTCTCCAGTCGCCGCATGATTGTCCAGATTGGGAATTCTCTGTAAGTGGGTACTCCAATCTTATGTTCACGTCTCCCTCTAGCACTATGATGTCATCTTTAGTAGGTGGAGAAGTGAGTCTTGTACAGTTAACACACGAGTATCCAGAACAGGCGCCCTCTGACGGAACTTTCAGTTGATTCCACATTTCAGCATTCTTTATCTCTATTTTCTTGCTCCGTACCTCTGCAACAGTCTATTTAAAAACACAAAGTTTTATGGTGATTTAGATGGTAAATAATATTCAGTGTGATAAAATGTACAACAAATCAACACAGTCTTTGACATTGCTTAAAAATACAGTTTATAAATAATTTAATTTTTTCATCAATTTAATTGATAAAGTCTTTACACAACATGATACTCACGATGTATCCACGATAAATAAATGATGTCATCTCTCCTCCATGTTCTTTCGCCATCTGGTACTTTCCAATAAAACTCATGATGTCATCAGAAAAATCTGCAAGAACTGCTTTAAATTCCTTACTCGCATCACACTTAGAGAGATCAAAGTTTGTACAGTTGTTGGAATAAATGTGCTTCAGAATTTCCTGGGAATTTATAAATGCTGATATTGTTGCTTCAACGTCTCTTCCAACAAATCGGGAGGGCAAAAATGTTGCAATGCGCTGTCCATTGCAAATGCCCTCACTTGCATTTATATTACAACTTTTTCGTTCTCTGTATAGATTCAGTATGGTTGAATTGTTCGACGTGTCTTCAATCTTATCTTTTACATACTGTACAAGATTTGATGACGTATTCAGGTGTTCGAGGTATAAAAAGGTGTCCGTAAAATTTGAAGTAAGGTCTTCCCAATGATCTGAAGTCACCATGACTGCACTATTAAAAAACGCCATGTTAGATGTGATTGCATCATAGCTGTCATCTGCTGATACAAATAAAATCACGTGAGGTGGTAAAGGGTCAAACGATTTGGTGTTTTCATATGTAACGGAAGAAGTAATGCAAAGAGAGTAAGAGGAAGCCATCCTTAGAAACAGATCACGTGATGCAATAGCTGATGGATGATTGGACGATATCACAGCAAAGTTGTTCCAGCCCAAATCTATAACTATCTTGATGATGTCCTAAAATGAAAGCAGTTTGAGTTTATGAAAATTATTTTGTGTCAAGCGTTCACTGTAAAAACCTTATAATTCAACTAGTCTTGAGATGAAGGGATTCCTTACTCTAATTTTCCAAGGAGAAACTGTACCAATATCTATATCCAGGATGTCCTGGGTCGATACATGTGCTGTCTGGTTAATATGAATGTGAGGAACCCCGAAAGGTCTCAGGAAGTGAGAAATATTAGAGCGGACTGAAGGGTTTCCATATGATATGACACCTATGATAAAAATACTGGATGTACATATAAGTATCAAGATGTTGGTAGCTTGAAGATGGTAATTCTAAATAACAAAACATTTATCTATACGTACATGTACATGATTGTGCGTAAAAGAGTTATGCATGTTGTGAAAACAAATCGGATTAAATATATTAATATAACAGTTTATATATAAAATGAGTTTTCTTACTGGATATGCTGGTGTTATCTGTGACAAATACATATCCCAGAATAAGCATTGTACGTCTGACGTCACCACAGGTGTCATAAACCAATATCCCTGTAAAAGGCAAGTTTTAAGTATCAACTCATTCCACAGTTACTGTATTAGAATTTAGTAAACCAAAAGACTAAAAGTATATAAATATATTTGTTTAACAATGAAACCAAATCTCTAGATAAAGCAGAAATGTGGTTTTATGCATCCCATGCTGCAAGATCATGCAATTATATAAGATGTAAGTGTACTCAGTGGAAAATATCCCATTTTACAAGTACCTTTACTACTTATAGATTAAATAAAAATTCAGTCATTTTCATAAAAATTGGGTCCTGGAAAATTTAGGTAACAGTTTGAAAAATGATTGCTTATGTACAAACCTGGACTTGTACTGTTATTTTTTCCTTTCTTGACCAGATCCTGATTTAACCATTCCAGAGTAAAGGTCAGCTCGGCGGCCCTGGGTGAAAAATCTGTACAGACCCCGTTGTCATCCGTAGACCTGTGTATATCCACCAGTACCAGCACGGTCGGATCCTCGTGAGAGTTATATACGGGTGGGTCCGGCTCACTGCATTCACTGGTCAGAAATGACACACCCAGTGCCAGAATCAGCTTCACCAACAAACCGTGACGGGGCATACTGACATTAATACCGCTGTTCAGCGGTTCTCACGTCATTTCTAAATCACCTCTGTATCTGCAGGGAAAAAACCTCGGAAATTACAAAATTTCTTTTTGCCAACAAACAAAATTAATTTTCCTTCTCCAAAACAATAGCTTTGTTTTGAAATTTTTTTATCGGAAATGATAGGGTACGAGAGTAAACTACACATATAATGTTCTCGATACTGAGATTCATCATATCCATGGTAACACATTCGTTAGTACTAAAGTGTAACACGACATTTATGAAACTAGTGATCTAAAAATAGGCTTTCTTAACAATTGCTTACATGTCATTCTTGCAAACATCTTAAATTTCTAAAAGCCGCAGTGATTCACTGTTACTGAAGAAAATCGTGCTAAATATTACTTACAGAAAACGCAGATATGTTACTTCAGTATCAAATATCCCTTGTTAACGACTTACACAGGTAGGTAGCGAGGTAAATACTCATTACGTATGTATTGATTTTTGTCTTTTAAATTCCTAGTCGATAATTATGTGTAGTTGATAAATATATGCAAGAAAATGGCCTTTTGTTAATTGCTGGTTGTGATTGCTAATAATTATTTTTTGTATGTGTCACAAAATAGGTACATGCATTTGTGCTGGTTTTGAAATCTTAACATTCTTCAAGATACGAAATAATTCATTTTTGTCTCAAGGAGTGGTAGTCATTTGCATGCAATATAGATATTCCAAAGAAAAGGGTGCAAAATTAACTGAAGACATGAATAAAACATGCGATATGTGTACAGTAGGAATCTCTGAATTAAGGAGTGTTTTCAATACATCTTTGATACAGGCGAACGATTCTTTTCAAATGGGATCTACGCACGGAATTTGAAAATAACCACCTTTTTCATAATTACAGTTGACGATCTATCGTACGCCTTATATTCTCTGTCGGTGAATATACGGACCGTCCCTGATCTTAATACAAACCTCCATCTCATGAATAAGCAGAATATTTCTGATGGAGCAACACTTCAAATAAAGTTTACAAAAAAAAAAAAATGATTGGTTTAATCGGTTAATCGCAGGACAATTCCCTATTGGACAGACAGTCTTATACTAGACACCTCACACCTCTATACCGATGTATTGCGACAAATGAAAGGTTAGGTTCATATATATATATTCGTCATTTATCTGTACTTTTAAATCACAGTGGCAAAGAAAGAAATAGTGACTGGATCAACTTTATAGACAACCTTAACTGAATGTAATTGTGGAAAATTGTTATTACCTTTACCTCAAAACATTTTTAGGGAATTCATTTCCATAAATGCACCTGCCAGATTTGGGAAGGGGTGAAATTAAATTAAAAAGGAGAGAGAAAAAAAGATGCATGCTTTTAAAAGGATCTAAAAGGTGTGTTTTGCAAACAACGACGAGTCATGTACGTTTATTTGCATCAAAGCAGGATATCGAAAAGTACAAACGATTATTTTTTCCCAAAATTCTACGACTATGCACTGCACCGATCAGTCCATCACGGAATATTCATAAATAGTATCCTTGAATGACACGATGTCTAGTGATACATATACACCTATTTTCTGTCAGGCGAGGAAACATGAGGAAAATGGCGAATTTCCAAGACACAATACAGCATTATGGATTACGGCTGTTAAGATTAATACTGCATATGTGTGTTAACCAAGGATGATGGGAATATACTTCCTATGCAGAATAGCAACATACCCGAGGGGTGAAGAACTGTTTACACGAAGTATTGATCTTGTCTGATAGGCTATAGGGTGGGGTTAGATGTAGATCCTGATACCTAGGTCGCAAAAGTATTATTCTCGATTGTATGTCATTAAATGACATGAACCAGAAACTATCAAAACTTCTACATGTTTGCCAGATAATGGCACGCATCTACACAGGTGATATTTCAGAGAGAGAGAAAGAGAGCGAGAGAAGAAAAGAGGCCTTCCCTTCCGTTTCTGAGCACATTAACGTTTTCATCAACCACATAATATTTACTTTACATTCTACAGAGTGACGGTTACACTGTAAAGTAACGTACTTAATTAGTCAGCTGTTTGTACACATTCATTAATCAGAATTTGTCGCTTGTCACTTATAGGTCCCACAAGGTCAAAAGGTAAATTCTTACCTATATATGTATCATCTCTTTCAAGTCCCTGAAGTGGTGTTCCATTTCAATGATATAATATCCGATTCCCGTTATTTACTGCACACCTTTTCTTAGTATTCCACCTTCACAGAATAAGTTCACGGGTGGGTGAACTCGAGTGTGAGCGAGATGGTTTAAACTCAGCGGTCACCCGTCGGACAGGTTTTCACTAATATTTTCGTTTCGTATTAAAAGTCTTTCCTAATCCGGATTTTTTTTAGTACAGTAAACAGTCTGTTCGACCATTTAAAACTCATTGGAAGTCACTGGTTGGTTTATCGGTGATAAATTGATACCTCCGTATATTGGATCAATCATAAAGCATACATAAATTCGATTACTTCGAACCGAATCTATTATTCACAGCATCAAACCATATTAGATTTCGTCTGCAGACTCAATTTATCCCCATTGTGTAATACGTCAACACTACAAAGCTACTGTGAAAAATATTTTTCTCCTGGTAAATGGTTTTGCGGATAATTTGGATAATGCCCAGCCTACAGTCATAATCTTTATCTGAATAATGCTAGAATACAGTACTTCAACTGGAGGATGCTTCTATACTTACTATTAACAAAAACAGGAGCGCCGAATGATATTCAGGACAAATTGACAAACGGAATGCATGGATTCTACGTCAAAGTCAATATAAGATCTTTTTAGTTCAGAATTGTAATTGACTTTTTAAACTAAAATTGCGTGGTAATTCCTTTATGCACAATTTAACCCATACAATAAAACACTGTAGTAAAATTCCTTGCTCTTTCTCCTACAAAAAATAATCCAGAGCACAAATTACACAGAAAATTTACTCCATTGGAAAAAAACCCAGCAATCCAATCTTCCCAAGTGCAATAAAATGGGAAATCCCCGGCGGGACAGAAAAAAAGTAGATATCATACGCACGTGTTTTTTCCCTAGAATTCAACAATTTTAGATTCTTGCACGATAGGAAAGAAGAACAGGATCCACCAATCGTTTTGTGTTAATTAGATAACACAGGAGACAGTCGACCTGCCTTCATCCAGGTCGTAAATCGCGCGCTGACCGTATCAGGGCCCGTATCCCTCCACTCCATAATGCTAATAAACCACTGTTAATTTATGCTGACAGTAGCTCGTTATATTTATTAATTAATGCATGTTTATTCCCATTAATTTAGTTCTGTTTACTAAAGTGAAAAACTCTGTGTTGGATCCTTCCTTTGACGTGCGGTGGTGAATATTTTTGATCATAAAACCGAAAATTTATTATCAAATGCGGCATTTTAGTGCGTATTCATTCAGTTTTCATGTCACGATTATTTCAAGTTTATTGAAACTTTTAGTGTCATTAATCCATTTTATTCTGCAAAGGTTAAAAGATCAATTACATAAAAGAAAGTAAATGTCGCCAAACTTTCCGATTAATTCTTAACTGAAATATTTCCGGGGACAAAAAATGTACACTACACATACCCCCCCCCCCCCATTTTTCAATGTCATTTCTTTTCTGTCGATGCATATAGTACATGTATATTAATTCAGAATATCAATCCTTTTTAATTCAAAATATGTATCCTTTAAGTAAAGATTTTTAGGCTACAGTATAGCTAACACTAAATATAAACCAGCTGACACATTACGTAAATCCAACTAAATCAAGACTTTGCGAAATGCCATCACATTTTAAGTACATATTTTGTTTACACGACGGGAGGGAAGGTCGCTGATTTTATGCCTAAAATTCTTGACCAGGCATATAACTATAATGCCACACTCTTTACCATCGGCTCATACGACAACTCTGCAAGGGAGATTGGTAGTGCCATTTTAGAAATGGTTAATTGAAAAAAAAAATCTTGGGATGTATACGGGTTGAAATGTGTAAATTTCAGTGCCAAGAACAAAATTATATAATTGTTTTTATTAACTAAAATTTGCACTTAAATTCGTTGTATCAATTATGATGTAAAGGGGCCGATATTTGTATTTACAATCTTCTCAAAAGAAGTTATGCGGGGTAGGAGCTACATCATAGCTTTTTCTTGTTCTGTGCTAAATTTCGGGTGAGTGGAGGGAGTGTGTTTTTGTATAATATGCGTCTATAAACGAATAAATATAGCGAATAATTTGATAAATCTGTGACCAGAACACACAAGGATCTAGGAAAGATAACTCCTCCTCTACCACATTAACATGAAATCTACCTTGTTACCGTTCCTGATTCTTCAATATATGATTGATAACCGTAAAAAAGAAAACAGAAGGCAACATTTATATGGAATGGTTTTATTACAAAATATTAATGATGTTAGGTGGACGTTTTCATTGAAAGAAAAAAAAATGTATAAAAATCATTTTTTTTACATAAATTTATTTGATAAAACTAAAAATTTGTTCCTAATTTGAAGACTGGAGTTGACTTTTGGTGCTATAAGCAAAATACCAAACAAGGATGGCAATGAAAACAGCAACAAATTCACTCTGTACAATAGGGCCCTTCCACACTCCCTGTAATGATTCAAAATAAACTCAATTTTAACACAATACCAAACTTTAAACTGAACAGAAAACATTGTTAATGCATAGCACTTGGGATCAAAAGTGAGTACTATTACATAATATTACTGAAAAAAAATTCAAATGAGAAAGTGATCTCCCCCCCCCCCCCCCCAAAAAAAAAAAAAGAAGAAAAAAACATGAAAGAATAAATAAATAAAATAAATCAGCCATTTTAGCTTTTCAAGACTGTTTAGAAAGGTCAAAATGAAAATCACTTGATAATTGTTTCACAAATAGAAGTAAGAACAGATAGACTTACTGGGTGGTTGATGGTGATGGTTGTGACAGGTTTGATAGAGTCCACTGACTCCCCACTTCTCTGTGCCTTTCTCAGTGCTGAGTATCCCTCCTCGTCGTATAGTCGGACCTCGTATTTACCAGCAGGGAGCTTCTTGTGATCATCGCTGATGCTCACCTGTTCAAAAATTGAAATATTAATAAACAGCATTGAGCTGGGCCACAATAACTTGCAGTACATTAAAACTTGTATGTTGTTTTTATTTTTTTTTTCCATACAGTTAAATCAAGAAATAAAATTGTTCTTTGACAATGACATAAAAGAACATATAAAAAAAAGATATTATAAGGCATTAATTTAGTATTTTTCAAACACAAATATAATGTGTGCATATATACTTGCATTAATATAACTTAGTTTCAATGGACGTGTGGATATTGTAAGAAACCATACTTTAAGTGTCAACACATTTTCAGAACACATTTTGGCAATTAAAATCTAATACATGTATTTGTATTTCAGTAACTCCAATTTAAAAATCACTTACTTGGTAAAAATCAGGTCTATCTGTTTTTGTAACTGGTAAAGTTTTTCCATTAATATCAGCATACAGATTCATATCCTAAAGATAGTTAAAAACACCATATGTAAGCAAGGATTTAAATGTACCACAAAATATCCTAAAGGTATCAACTGAACAAGAGTTTTATTTTAATCATATAATAATAGTAAAAAGAAAGATATGTAACTGAATATCAAATCTAAATATAGGTATGAAGTATTTTCTGAATAAAAGTGGGGAAATGTAAAAACTCTTGGTACGTCAAAAAATATCAGATTTTGAACAAGTGAAACATATGAAGGAACTTAAACTTTTGACTTGCAATCAACATCATATTTTCATCTTAGAGAAATAAAGAATTACATGTATTTACAATTTTGATTTGATGTAGAAGATTGTCTCCTTACCCTGACTTTATTTTGACAGGCAAGTGTAAATTGTACAATAAATACAGTTTCTGTAGATACAATGGCTTCTGTTGTTGTGTAAGTTTCAGCCTTGATCTCCGGTGATGCACAGCTGTCTCCTGTCAAAAATAACAAGTTTGTTTATAAATTTTTTTTACAGACCCATAAATCACAATATAAGCTGCATGAGTTCAAAATGTTATGTTTTTCTGGACAGCTCTCCTGTGTTGAATTATTTGTGAAAAAAACAACAAAAATTTTAAACAAATTATTATGGGACCCAATTATTACTGCACAAATGTTGCATTTTAGGAGTGCTTTCTGGTTTACCAAACATTACCTTAATTAAAATAAAAAAAATAACAAAATGACAACTGCTTCAAAAATGCTGAAATTAAACAATCATTTGGATGAAGTTTATAAACACACAGACACAACATTGTAGATCAGCAGGTGAAGCAAGTGCTACTGTATTTCATTAAACAAATATATATATTATGACAACACTAAATAATATTTCCCCAAATAGCCCTGCTTTCTCAGTAGCACAACTGCTAACGTCTTGCATGTACATATATATTTTATTTTATATGTATATTATCATACATATTTATATACATTTGAACCAATCAGCAATGGAACATATTCTCCTTTTGGCTACCAAACATGGCAAACAGAAAAAATGGTAATCAATAAAACGAATTCGAAAACTTGGAAAATCTTTCGATATAAAGCAGGAAAACTTTCAGAAATTTAAAAACAAAAGTTTAGTACAAATATTGGAGGAGGAAAAGGTCTTATAACAGAGGAAATTCGATTCTGTGCCACGTATAACCGTATGGCTATTCAAGCACTGTTTTTACATGAACTGGTGGGGATTCGTTTACTCCAACATGTTTTTACGAAACAGAAGTAACATCAAAGCAAATAATTTAAATTACCTAGAACAAGGAAAGGAACAACGAGTAGAACCACTAAGGAGAACATTTTGCCGGCTAGCTCCATCTTCGTTTGGTTTACACACGGTAAGAAAAGCGGAAGTAGTGGACGTGTCAATGTAAATCAAAGCAACTCGTACACAGACTAACTCGGTCCCCCCCCCCCCCCCCCGCCTCCAGACTTTTACATGTACCTTAAGAACAGGCCGAATATTTATAGAAAAAGTGTACTATAAGAAACAAAAAATAACGAAATTAGTTTAAAATATGATTATTATACTAATTATATAATTATATTACATTATGCACAATGTACAAGTACGATATATAAAATTTTGTTACTAAATAAATTAAGATTATTACGCAATATTTACAAGGTGCCAGTTATTGTATCCAAGGGAATCAACAGCTTCTATCGGAATGAATAAAAGCTAAAAACAAACTTTTTTCTTTGTTGACATATATATATGGTTTTCACAGCAGGTGACGATCAAACTCTTCATGTAGAGTGTAAATTTTTGTCAGCTTGTAGGAAAAGGCACGAACACGTTGTATTTTTGTATTTCGGTGTTAATTTCACTATTCATTTAGAGTTTTCTGGATATAAATATCGGCAGGTCTGTATACGAATACCTATTTCATTGTATTACAAACTTGTAATGTATAAAATGAATATAAATTTACAGAAATAAATGTGTAATTCCTGATTTCAAAATGAATATTTGTGCATACAGTCTTAAACTTATCATTTTTGTATTTATCAACGTAGATTATTTTTTTTATTTCATAAAGTATACGCTTTGAATGCACTCTTATTTCTTGTGAATGACAATGTCACTTTAAATAATTTAGTTAAAACTATGGCGTACATTTACCGTACGCGGTTATTATAAGGCTTTTGCTCATGTTTCATCACATGTTTTCCCTCTGAAATAAAATTAAAGCATTTTAAAAGTAGGGGTCATTAATCTGACACCGGAAAAACGTCCACCCCGGGGTCCTGAGGGTAACGGCCGAAATAAGGGTAATTTAATCAAATGTCCTCAAATAAAGAGACAATAAAAGATTTATTTCTATTGTGTACAATCGTGATTTTTACGGTGTAGTGACTCTGGTCAATATGAAATGTAAACTTCACAGGAAAACTTCAGTCTGTTCTAAACAATGTACACAGATGCTGATTCGGAAACAGCTGTTCACCCTGGGCAGGAAATATGTACATCTATTTAAAATAATAATAATTTAAATGTTTCCTTTTTTGCTCTTCTAACTGGTAATTGAAATCTTTCAAGTCTTCATTTCCTCATTATAATATTTTTTGATGAATCAAAAATCACAAAACTAATGAAAATATTTTAAGGAAATATGTATATACAATGTGGATATAACAAAAGTAATGCATTTTATTTCTGAAGTAAGATTAATGATTAGTTTTTCACTATAGTACTGTCATTTGAAGAAAACAAATTGTGTTTACATGTACTATAATACACATTAGTTGTTTTTTTTAGTCTGATTGGGTTCACCAACCAAAGTGTTGAATGCATTCATTTAGCTTTAATAATATATGCACATATAATATGTTAAAGGTAGGGGTGCGTCACAAAAATATTAACCTCACCCTCTTTGGGTTCACTATTGAATCATTTATGAAAAGTAACCTTAAATATGTTATACCAGTAGTTAATTACGCTATCTTGAAGTTAATAAAATAAAAAAAACTGTGAGAAAAATTTAGTTATATTCTTCATCTTCAATACTTAAATTTCTAATCTTTTTTGTGTGAAGTTTTATCGATTTTAGAGGGGAAACGCCGTCAAACAGGAAAATGTCAACTTGAGAAATTATTTTTTTTTTTCGGAAAAGGAAAGTTGTATATTAAAACTGGAAGTTTTATTTCATGTATATATTCGTGTCCTGATCACATAAAATGGATATCGACTCACCAAAACGAGCCCTCTGTATATGATATACTGCGATTCCATGTTTAATTCTCAAATCTGGCAATGCTTGTATATGTGTAAGAATATTAAGCAGGATTTTCCTTGGCACAAAAAATCTTATCTCGGGGAGCAGGAAATTTAAAACGTTTTGTTGTGGCCAGTTTTTAATCATGGGCGCCAAGGTTTGGTGACATCTTCATTCAGTAAGCGAGCCTCAAGCGTCTCTGTGCATCGATATTCTTCAGGTGTAATTTACCTGCGAACAGCTGATCGATAGCAATACGTATTTACATAAGGAGCGCACATTCTGAGGTTTAGTTGAATGGTAGTGACCTTTTCTGCGGCTTTAGGAAGTTTTAAGACAGACTGGGGATTATTCGGTGTCGTAATTTTAAACTTGTTTTGATATTTTTATCGGATGAACACGTACATGTATATATGTGTAACTTTGTTCTCTTGAGAACGGCCGACGTGAAATTAAATATTTATATTTTTCCTTCATTAGACCACAGTGATTAAGCAGTGTTTCTCTCATTCTTTAATGAATCTCGGAACGTACTCTTATAAATACTGACTTAGGACAATCATTAAATCACTCCACATTTGCAGGGGAAAAGGGGCTCAAAAGTTGACTGTATAGATGACACACTACGATAATTTCCACTCAAAGGAACCTCGTTAAGTATTGACAACTGTATGGGTCGGTTCACTTGTTTGAAATAGAGGATCGTTCATCAGCTTAAAGTACTTGGTGCCTGTATTTGTTCATCAGATACCAGAACTCAATTACAGCTACCAGAATAAAACAGTTTTTGCCCGATATTAAAACTGTCGACATGTGAACTACTGTGAATATAAACATCAAAACCATGCGGAGTTTATTATTCATAGACAGGTAACTTTTTTTTTTATCTGCATTAGCATTTATTTAGACGTTCTTGTATATATATGCGTATAAATATAGAGGTATGTGTATATGAAAGTAAAGGTGAAACCAACTTAAAACTCCTCAAAAAGGAGTTATGGTGTAGAACCAAGGTAATTCTTAATGTTTACCTTGTAAGGGCTTTAACAATGAATTTCTCTCTATATTATTGGAATATTTAAAGAAGGGAAGGTATGTACATTTATTTTGGGAGTAAATTAAATGTATTTTTTTTCATACCTGTAAAAGGCATGCAGACACCCCATATTCTCGAAGAAAAGTAACTGGTCTTGCACGAATCCCCCCTCCCCCTCCCCATCTCACATACATGTATGTTATTTTTAGTGTCCCCATCCTGTACCTATGACCATGCAGCATATACCGTATTTTGAGAGGAATAATACATGTTCTTAGGTGTAGAATATTTAAAGTGCCTTAAATTTATCTTGTTTGTTCAAAATATTTTCAACCCGTCTCTGAGAAGATTGTAATGTTTATTTTAACAAGAGAACATTTACTTTATGTATATGCAAAGGAATTTAAAAAATGCTAATTAGGCTATTTATGTGGTAAGGAAGATACCTGTAAATTGTAAAATATCTATAACTAATTCCATTTGGTTTCGGCAATCTCTCTCTCTCTTGTATCCATGAATTTGATTTATATAGATGTACACTGAACAAAATCAACTAAGTAGTCACTTAGTTACATGTATTTCATTTGCAAAACAAAAAATGTGTATATGTTGAATTTAATTTTTTTATGATTTACTAAAGCGAAAATTTGATAACCAAACACCTTCATAAGAAGTTCTTGAGTAAATTTGTCGTAAAATCAAGTTGCGTGACCCCCCCACCCCCCCCACCCCCCCCACCCCTTCCAAGAAACCCCGCAATTGAAAAATAAAAACGTTCATAAGTGACAAAGGGGGTCATTCCTGAAAACTAGATAGTTACGGTTTTTTTTTGTAAGTAGGGGCCATGCAAGCTTAAATTCCACTTGATGTTTATCAGGCATTTGTAAAAATTCTGAATTCCATGCAATTTCATCAACATTTTAAGACAAGATATTAATTTTCGTAACGAATTCAGGCCCAAAACCGTTGTCATTCCTTGTAATGCACGCTTTTTACATTGTATAGACTTTTTTTTCTTTTATTAATTATCAAAAATACATATCAATTGAAAAAATGTAAACTCATTGATTTGCACAAGCAAAAATAATGTGTTTTCAAGCAACTCTTGTATACCTTATAATTAGCAGTAATAACTCGTGAAAAATTTAATAATTTTCATCAACTGATACAGAATTTATCGGAGATGAATTTCATTCCTTATTTGAATGTACTGACTTACATGTATCTATAAAGAACTCAAGAGTTATATGTATTTGTCAAAATATTTTCAATCGGATCCAAATGTTTTCAAATTTGAAATGCTTTTTAATGTAGCCGATACTAGTCAACTTAGCAAAATTTGTAAATTGCTAGATATTATAATTGAGAGAGTTGGCTCTCTTGGTTGATATTACGCTCTGTTATCCATTCTTCAGGCATGTAATACATGTATTTTCTGTTTATTATATTGTGCATATCTTCTCTCACTGTTTTTTTTTTCATTTATGAGAATAAAGTTCATACATTACAATTTCTGTAGTGACTGCTATAAGAAGCATTGTTCAGTGTATATACATAATATTTAATTAATTAATTAATTAAATTGCTGTGCTCAGACCTATTTCATAGACTTCCCACCCATGGTGTAGAGTTTAATTAACGCCACTAATGTTCAAAAAGGAAATGAAGTATGCAGAGAAAACACAATTCCCAGAACTTGATTCAATTCAAATAAATGTATGGTGTGTATAATATAGTGCCTTTTCCAGTCCTGTATCATTAAATATGAATAAGCCACACATTGGGAAACCTTGTAGACGCCTCTCTAAATGACCACCGACTAGACGTACTAATTGAAAATGTATAATACATAGGAAACAGATGACCTAGTTATTCAATCAATAAGGTAACTAATTGGCAACTGACAGTGAGGATTTTTTTTCCTAGAAAAAATATCAGAAAATCATTATTCTTTTTGATATATTTTGTCTGTATACGTAATTTAAAAATGGTCTAATTAAATTGGATAATTAGATGCCAGTTCTGTACAAAAACTCAATAGTATAACGAAGACATGTAAAATATTCGTTGATATTATCAGATTTAAGAGGTAAATCAGTTAATCA